CACACACCTCCCTGCTCACCCCTCACTCCCATCCCAAGATTCATGCTATTTTTTCAAGTTGATCTAGTTTTCGTAAACCTAGATCCAAACTAAAATGAATATCCAAAAAGCCATAGAGTGGGGGAAATTAATTGCCAAATACGTATCTGATAATGGTCTGGCATCTAAAATATGCAAAGAACCTTTAAAACTCAACAATAAGAAAACAACTCAATTTAAAACTGGGCAAAAGGCCTGAACAGACACCTAAGCAAAGAAGACGTACAGATTAAAAATATGCATATGAAAGGATGCTCAGTGTCATCTGTTATTAGGGAAATGAAAATGAAATTAACAGTGAGATGCCACTCCACACCTTGCTGTAGACTGAATGCTCATATCCCTGCTCCATTGATACACTGAAATCCTAACCCCCGATGTGATGGTCTTTGGACGTGAGGCCTTTGGGAGGTGATTGATCAGGTCATGAGGGCAGAACTCTCATGAATGGGATTAGTGCCCTTATAAAAGAGACCCCAGAGTGAGGACACAGAGCGAAGATGGTCTTCTATGAATCAGGAACCAGACCTACTGGTGCCTTGTCCTTGGCTGTCCCAGCCTCCAGGGCTGTGAGGAATTTCTGCTCTTTATAAACCACCCAGTCTACGTTATTCTGCTATGGCAGCCTGAATGGACTAAGTCCACCTACTAGAATGACGAAAGTCCAGAACACTGACAACACCGAATCCTGGCGAGGATATGGAACAACAGGAATTCCCATTCACTGCTGGGAGGGATGCAAAATAGTACAGCTCTTCGGAAGACAAGTTAACATTTTCTTACAAAACTAAACACATTCTTAACATACAATTCAGCAATCAGGCTCCTTGGTATTTACCCAAATGAGCTGAAACGTTAAACCTGCAAAAACCTGCACACAGATGTTTATAGCAGCTTTATTCATGACTGCCAAAACTTGGAAGCAAGCAAGATCTCCTTCAGTAGATGAATGGATAAACAGACTGTGATGCATCCAGACAATGGAATATTATTCAGCTAAAAAAGATATGATCTATCAAAGTATGAAATGACATGGAGTAAACTTAAATGCATATGGCTGAATGAAAGAAGCCAGTATGAAAAGAGCTACATGCTGTACAATTCCAATTATGGGACAACACACATACGGCTTGTAGTCTCTCAGCAGGGTCCTGTAGGTGTGCTCTGCTCACACTGCCTGTCTACCTGTCTTTCCTTTCTTTGTTTTAAGCTGTGTAGGCGCTGGGTTCACGTCTCCGGCATTGTTCCATCCCAGATCCTGGCCATCATAAATAAACAGCAAATGTTGTTGAACAAATGAATGGATGAGTGTGTGAACTAAGGTTTCTGGGAGCCACTCTTTGCATATGTGCTTAGGGTCCTTCCCTCTGTGTCCTCCACCATGTTTGATGTCATCCAGGGTGCTGACACTGGGTACGTGGAAAATCAGTCCAATTAGCAGAAAAGTTGAAAAAATCCAATAACTGTGGGATGTTTATTTCCTAAGGGCTACCTTATTCCCTCTACACGTAGATGGTTTATTCAGCGAAAGTTGAAATGTTTTAGATAAACATCCGGGTCTCCTCGTAAATCCATCTCTTTTTGCCAACTAACTGCCACTCCACTTCTGGGCTCAGTTTAAGTGCCAGTTCTGAGACGCCTTCTCTGGCCACCCCACCCCCTGCCTGCTGCTGTTCGATCTCATGTTACCATTTTCCATAGTGGACGTATCACAATTTATAGTTATGTATTCACATGAATTCATCCTTTCTAATGTCTCTCTGGCCCAGGACACTGTCAACTCCAAGAAGTTGAGGCTCATCCTTGTTGTGTTCACATCTTGTCTCCAGGACCCTGCACGGAGCCCACTGCATAGTAAGCGCTCGTTTGTCATCATTGGATGAATCTCGTTGCTGACGGCGGGAGCTTAGCTGCAACACATGCTCCAGGGGTTTCCAAAAAAAAATTTTTTTTTTTAAAACAGCAGAACTCCTTTCACTAAATGAAGTTGTTTAGACTTCTTTATATAAACCAACTCATTTCTGTGGTTAAGCTGGGGGGTGACTGGGGAGACCTGCTGGCCTGGTTTCTCCTTGCTGCTCTAATGGGATCCCAGAGGCACCTCACACAGTGCCCCTCGGCAAGCTTTTCCAGGTGCTCCCTTTGAAAGTGCCAGAAGGGTCAAGGGGTCTCTTCACCAAGGTGACGCCCTCTCTGTAGGTTGAAAGGCAAACAACGTTTCTTCTTCTCCCAGCTCCCTGGGGAGCTTTGTGGGGTACTTTGCTAATAGAGCCATAAATCCTCCCCTCCTCCACTGAGCATCCCAATTTGATTTGCTCTTCAGATGACCTCTTCCTGGGGAAAATGATATGTTTTCCCTGCGTTATGGCAAAGACCCCAGTGGGCAGCTGTGCTGTGTCCTGCCTCTGCCGTCTGATAGTCTAATTCGTCTCCAATTTACAGACTTGTCAGTTCCCCAGCCAGCTCCCACCTTGCTGTCGCTGACCCAGCAGCAATATTTACCTGTGTCATCTTGCTCAGACAGACACAGGCGTCCCCGCTGAGGAGGCAGCCATGCCAGCCCTGTCATCTCACTGATCGACCCTGGCTGACTCCATCCACGTCGGGGCAGGAAGGACCAAACACCAGAAGGTGGGGCAGGCACGGCTCCCACGGCCAGGGAGCCTCCCCTGGTCGTCTGCTCCCCCGCCGGGAATTCTCAGGACAACTTCTGCCTTTCAAAGGGGTGGGGCTGCTGCCTGCCCTCCGGCCGGTCCCTTCGTCCTGCTGGGCTTTCTGACTTCCCTATCCTCCCCTCCTTGAATGCTTACTGGCACACTCTGTGGCAGGTCGGGTGCAAACCCCTTGCTTTGAATCTGACTCCAAGAGTGGCAAGAAATGGAACTGGCCATACTTTCTACATGCCTCCATTTCCTGGCCTCTGGAACGGGCACAGTCATGTATCTCATGCCACATTTTGTCTTGTAATCTTGGTCAGAGAAAAAAAACAGACACCCACACATTTTGCATGTCATGGCAAGGGGCTGACAGAAGCTGTTAAGTCCACCCACTAGCCCTAGGCTGAGATATGATGAGCTAGACAAAAATTGGACACAACCTAAATTGTCCATCAACTGGTAAATGGATAGTCAGATGTGATACAGCCTTAGCATGGAATACTACTCAGCAATGAAAAGGAACTGTTTACAGATAATGCAATGACACAGATGAAACTTCAAAAATATTATGCTCAGGAAAGGAAGCCATACACAAGAGACCCGTATAGTGTATGGTCTACTTATATAAAAGATCCAAAACTATAAAGACAGAAAGTAGACTAGTGGCTGCTTGGGACAGAGACAGGAACTAACAGTAAATGTGCATGAAGGATCATATGGGAATGATGAAATGTTATAATACTGATATGGGGATGGTTGCATAACTTATTAAAAAAAATACAGGCATATCTTGAAGATATTTCAGGTTTGGTTCCAGACCACCACAGTAAAGTAAATATCACAATACAGTGAGTCACATGAACTTTTTTGGTTTTCCAATGCATATAAAAGTTATGTTTACACTATACTGTAGTCTATTGAGTGTACAATAGTGTTATATCTAAAATACAATGTATGTTACACATCTTAATTTAAAAAATGCTTCATTGCTTGTGATATCCAATGGGGAGTGTGTGATTGTCCCAGGGGCTGGGAGCATACATAATGGACTTTCAGATGCGATGGATGCGGGGGCTAGAAGTCCCACAACCTGCAAGGAGTTTCAGGAGTAGAGTCAGGATGGAAGTATCTCAGGCCACTGGGCCATGTGTTCTCTGTCACGCATACCTGATGTTGCCGTGGGAGTGTAGAAACATTGCAGGGCATTACTGAATCCCAATAAACCTTTATTTAAAACAATACTTCATTGCTAAAAAATGCTCACCACCATCTGAGCCTTCAGCAAGTAGTAGCAGTAACATCAAAGATCAGTGACCAGGATCACTGTCACAAATATAATTATATTTTATAAGATATAAAGTATAATAATAAGGTTTTGAAATGTTGTGAGAATTAATAAAGTGTGACACAGAGACGTGAAGTGAGCCAATGCTTTCGAAAAATGGCATAGGTAGACTTGATCGATGTAGGGTTGTCGCAAACCTTCAATTTGTTAAAAAAAACCCCAGAGTATCTGTGAAGTGCAATGAAATGAGGTGTGCCTGTATGTGTATGTGTCTCGCAGGGCTCCACGAGGTGCAGGATTTAGGAGTGAAGTGTCACGAGGGCTGTAAGCACTTTTGAAGTGGTTCAGCCTGTGCCGACAGCTCCAGCAATATCTGTATTTAAATCAGTTTTAGTTTTGTGGGGTTGCCTCAACAAATTAGCACCAACTGGGTGGCTTCAAACAGCAGAAATTTATTCTCCTATGGTGCTGGAGGCCAAGTCTGAAATCAAGATGTTGGCCGGACCATGATCCAACTGGCTCCAGAGGAGACGCCTTTCTTGTTTCTTCTGACTCTCACGTTCCTTGTTCTCCTTGGCTTCGTCTCTGCCTCCATTTTCACGTTGCCCCCTCTCTTCTGTCTGCGTGTCTCTTATAAGGACACTTGTCATTGGATAATCCAGGATAGTCTCTTCACCTCATGATCCTTAGTTAAACCTGCAAGGAATTCTTTTCCCAATAAGGTAACATTCATAGCACCAGGGATTTGATATGGTTATATCTGGGGGGGGAAGGGTAGGGGGCTACAATAATATCTATAATCAATACCATCCACCTCTGTAGCTGTATCATCTACATCTTATCATCTATATCTATAGATTGATGGAAAAGCAAAGACGCCGCAATGCTAACAGTGTCTGGATCTAAGTTGCGTGTATATGGGTGCTCATTGTACATGTAAACAATTGCTTATGCAAAACTCTTGTGTTTTCGAATTAAGATGTTTCTAGATTTTAGGAAGGCATTCAGGTGCATGCACTGCATGTTCCATCACACCCTTAATGGGGGTCTGAGCAGCACCTCATAACCAAATATATTAATATGTCTGCAGAGGTATTTTGGAATAGTCACACTAAGTGGACTAAATACAGACATATGTAATTGTAAACTTATTTGGGTCAGGTTTTGCTACCAAAGGACTTTTAGCACCAAATGTGGATAAACTTCTGGATTTCAGAGCTTTTTGAGTTTTAAACTTATGAAGGTGGGGAGCTGTGCTATTCTTTCTCCTTTTTGGTGTGTTTGAAAAATTTCGTAAGAAAACATTTTGAAAATGAGATTATGAGTGTAACATGCTTAGCGCGGTGCCTGGCACATAACGGGAACTCAGAATACATAAACCTTCAAATTAACTGCATAATTATTATTCTTTTAAAAATATTTTTAAAAGCTTTTTGTAAGATTTACTTTATTAAGCCTTATTTTATTTATTTATTTTTAACTTAATTATTTTGGGAGGAGGCAACTAGGTTTATTTATTTTATTGTTATTATTTTAAAGGGAGGTCCTGGGGATTGAACCCACGACCTCGTGCATGCTAAGCATGGGCTCTGCCCTTGCCCCCATAATTATTATTCTTAATGACAGTGTTATACAGCAGGCAATTAGGAACTGTTGAAGATTTTTATGCAGGAGAGGGATGTGATCAGGGAATAGCGAATTTAGAAGGATCCCCAGAGCGGTGGCACAGGAAATGGGT